CGAGGCGGCAGCTCGGGCAGGCGCCAGGCGGCGTGGGGCGGTGGCAATGCGCGTGCGCTCAGGGGCGGGGCGGCGCCCGGGGGCGGAGCGAGGTTCCGGTCGGCCCCTCGGAGGGGCGCTACGGGAGGCGGCGAGGGCCATAACGCCTCGGGCAGCCCCAGCGCCTTAAAGGGACAGCGTGCGGCGCGGGCTTCCTGCTTTAAGAGCGTTAAGCCAAAATTTGGGTGGTGCAGTCTCTCCGTCTCCTGCCATTTCTAAGGACTGAAGTCTAATAGGACGTACAGGAAGGTGCAGGGGTGCGAGCACACCCCGTCCCGGGGCTTCGCGCAGGTGGCGGGCGGTGCCCCGGGAGTCGGGCGTCTGTCCGGCCGCCAGGCCCCTTCTCAACGCTCGGACCCCGAGCACGGCCCGCCCCGGGCGAATGCTCCTCGCGCACGTCTCAGCCTGTCTTCGGGCCACCGCGGGCGCACGGGTGCTGTGCCTACCCGCTCTGAAGACCGGGACCTGCGTGTCCCCCAGGCTCGGCGCCCGCGCGGGACCCAGAGTCCCTCCCCTGTCCCCCCTTAGGCTGGCTGCTGGGCTCTTCCCGCCTCTGCGTGCGGAGAGCCAGGTGGACACACCTGCTGCGCCCCTGAGCCCCGTGCACCGAGGAGAGGTCAGTCCCAGCAGTCGCTGTAGCGGGCTACTCTGCAGTCCGCAAAGTGATCTCGAGGCTGCTCCCTCCTGGGGGCATAGGGTAGGGGTCGTCATCCCCTTTGACAAATGGGGAGGGGAGGTCCAGAGAGGACGACTGGGGGCCTAAGGAGGACCTGGAGTCGGGTCTTCTGGGCCTAAATCCTGCACATTCTCACCTGGCTGACCCACTTGTGCTACCCACATGGGTCTTTGAATTTTGGAGGCGGGCATAGCCTCGGCAGCCCAAGAGCCCCAACCCAGGCCTATAGGTAGTAGCCTCCATTCTCTCATTTTCCAATTAAAAGTGGAGCACCAAATATGGCACAGGAACCTGTGCAAACAAAGGAGCAGAGCATTTGAAATGGAAACGCCCAGGGAACGTGAGGTGTGCGGTTGTCATAGATACCAGAGATGAAAGAGTGAGTTGGTCTGGAGTCCCCCTCCCAGGAAGGATACAGATATGGCAAGATGTCTCTCTGGTCCTGGCAGGGCTCCTTGTGGACCTGTGTGCCCAAGAGGCCGAATCACCTTGGGCCAGGTGCACTGGGGCATGAGGTAGTGGCTATGGAAGGCTAACGAAACCAACTCAGATGAAGAAGGGCATCTCCATCTCCGTCCGCCTGGCCGCCTAGGCCAGAAACCCCAGCCCATCACAGGTTGGTCTCCCCTCCACCACCCCTCAGATGGCCCTCAGATCCATCCACTTCTCTCGTTTACCAGACCCCGCCTCCCCTCCAGCCTGTGCACCTGAGGTTCTGCCCCAAATTGCAAGCACTTGCAGTCCTTCAACCCTCCCAGCAGAGCAGGATAGGAGGGTCCTGACCCCAGAACCCTCAGAACCCAAATCACGTTCCCAGATCACACTCCCAGGTGAAATAGTCTCACCCCCCTCCCCGCAGGAGGTAGAGCCTAGAAGAGAAAATGAGAAAATCTTCCAACTCTATTGAGTGTTTTGCAATCCCTCCCTGCAGTCATAGCTTAAATCGTGAAACCAAATGACACAGCAGTATAGAGCAATTTAACAAAAGCGAGTAATTTGTTTTATTGTCTAAGTTTTAAATCCTTTTATATCCTGCGTGAAATGTTGTCAGGCCCAGAAAAACCACAGGTGGAAATAGAAGAGAGTAAAGAACCATGGAAGAGGGAAAAACATGTTGGAGATTTGTTTTTTCTTAACATTAACTGTGCTCCGGACACCAGGAGCAAATTGGTAAATGAAACTGTTCTGTGAACAATTTTTATAAATACAACATTTCTAGTGTCAGAGGACAGATTTACAACAAATGTAAAGATCTCAGTTGGGGGCTGGCTTGTTAGCTCAGCTGTTTAGAGCATAGCCTTGTAACACCAAGGTCAAGGGTCTGATTCTCTGTACGGGCCAGCCACCCAAAAATTAAAATAATAATAAAAATAAAGATCTCAATTGGCTGTATTGCAACTCTAGAATCTAGCAACCCCATGTTCCATAAAACAGAATAAGTGTTCCAATGAGCAAGCAGAGGAGATTGGTTTTATAGAGGGAAAAGGCTGGAGAATTAGAACGAAGAACAAAAAGCAGATTGGTCATTTCAAAGTTACTTTCCTTGAAAGGTGGAGACAGGGAGTCAGAACAGTAGAAAAATAACCAACTAGTAACATCAGATTACTTCAGGCTATTCTTTTTGTGTAAGATTAAAGCAGAGGGAACTTCATTATCATACCTATTAAAGTTTTAACTGGCCTGTTTGGGAAGTTGGCTGTTATCTCTCTCTCCTAACTTCTCAGAAGGTCAGACTCAACTTAGTTTAGATTTGGTGACATGGAACTTAGCAGGGGTGACTCCATTTTGGTTTTTAGTCTGAGCCCGCTTGGGCACCCTCCCCACTGGCCCAGGTCCCTTCTGCTCAACACCCCCCAGCAGCCAACGTCCACTCGGGCTTCCTCCTGCTCCCTGGACCTGGTGAGTGTCCTGGCTGAGTTTTCACAGCCCCAGCTGCTCCCCAGTGGAGACACTTGTCCTTCATTGTAGTTCTGGGTCTGTCCCTGGGCCTGGCTGAGCTGGGTCAGGCCCTCACCACAGCACCCTTGGCAGTTGGCACAGGGGGGTGACATCTAGCATTGGCTGAGCACTTGTGTGCGCAATTCTTTTTGTTTGTTTGTTTTTCATTTTTGTGTTTGGTGGCCGTCCAGGACAGGGATCCAAACCCTTGACCGATTGAGCTAACTGGCCAGCCCTTATGTGCCCAATTCAGTAGTTTGTTGTGTATATTATTTCCTTGCACCCTCACAACCAGCCTGTGATTATTATCACCTTTTCACAGTGAGGACAGAGGCTCAGAGAGGTTGAGAAGCTGCCCAAGGACCCACAGCCAGTGGGCATACCCATCGAAGTCAGGTAGAACCTGCACTCCTAACTCCCAGGTGACACAGTACATATTCAAGGATGCTTAAAGAATGGCCTCTTCAAGCAGAAGCAGGCAGAGAGGGTCTGTGGTAGGGGCAGAGCTGAAATTAAGAACATCTCTTCTTGCAGGACTTGAAGCTTTTGAAAAACTGTATTTGGTCACCTAGTAATGAGTATATCCTCAGGGACAGCAGACTGCCAAACTCGGAGAGGGCACGCCAGTGTGGCAGAGGAACGGGCACCCACAGCAGGCAGTGGGGAGGCACTTTTGGTCACCTAGTAATGAGTATATCCTCAGGGACAGCAGACTGCCAAACTCGGAGAGGGCAGGCCAGTGTGGCAGAGGAACGGGCACCCACAGCAGGCAGTGGGGAGGCACCGGCCCTTTAACGGCTCAGCCAGGCCAGAGCTTTGGTGGTAGTGGATTCCAACGGCAGTTGCTGAGGGAAGGTGGTGGAAGCCAAGGGACGCAGGGGATGCCCAGGACCCAGGCTTTCCAGGAGCTGCTCACCAGATTTCCAGACTGGATGGCCCACTTCTGCTCGGCCACCATTCGAGGAGCTGCTGACACTGCCCGGAGACCTTGCCCAGGACCCAGGCTTTCCAGGAGCTGCTCACCAGATTTCCAGACTGGATGGCCCACTTCCGC